TTGGTGATAAACTTCCCGGGGGGCTACTTCGGGCTAGACGCCAACTATGGCTAGTTTCTTGGCAACGCATAACTTTTGAACTCGTCCTCCGTACTGGGAACGGCGAATCCTCATCTTCGTCTGCAGTCCGTGGAGGTCTGTGGCCTGTATTGGGAATTGAGCAGCCATGTGACAGACGAGGCGCATGCGCCATGGGCTGACGGGTATCCATGCAGTTCGGGCTTCAAAGGCACGGCGACCATGCTCGCCCTCGTGACATGTTGCCAAACCAATCGCCGGGCGTATTCAGTCTGCGTCTGGCGGTGGGCTGCAGGGTGTCAGAGGTCGTAATTGGAATATCCTCCTGGGCATCCACAACGTAACTTTTAGGTAAAGTCAGGAGATGTACTGAATGGAGGCATTGCGACTGCCATTGTCAGGGGGATCGTTCGTTCAGCCGGCCGCTGCCTGCCAGTGGGCCCTTCCTCTTCCTTGGATGGGGATCTCTGTGGGATGGGATGGGATGGGATGGGAATAGCTGAGTTGCTCCTTCTCCGTATCAGAAATGCCATTGCTTTTGCACAGTCAACGTCGTCGTATCCAATTGATTGTTGAGGGCATGTCGAGTCTGTCAATTCGATTTATCGACCCCTTGTAGGGATTGTTGCCTGTTGCTTGGTCCCTGTCACCTAACACTGATCAGCCCCAGATCTTCGCGCGATCGTACTCGAAACGTGGGGGTCACCTCGTACTGTAACCTCGTTCGATGCCTTCGGGTCCACCTGGCACCGACGACGATCCGCCGGAGCTGAGGATTCCAATTCAAGTCGGCACTGGATCTCACCGCACCGAGTGCTGCGCAGATGAAGGTCTGTGACGCCTCTGCCCATCTGACAAGGAGATCAAGCGTGTCTGGCGGTCTCCTCGGATCCTGAACTGTGAGTGTTACCCCCACCGCACGAGAACTATCACCAGCAAACACACAGACGTGTCAAACGCATAATAGTGAGTAATAGAGAACCACAGCATCATCCGCGAGACATGCAACAAGTCCAAGTCCTGTCGCCGTTGCCTTAACGTCCACACCTCGCCCGAGGCGACGACATTCGGTGGTTCCACACCACATTCATGCACCATGAGCACGTTATTACCCCAAAAGGGTTGCCGCACCACCACAAACAACAATGCAGCCCGGTGTAACTTGTGCGAGCATCGGGACGGCAGCACCCTATTGATGGGAGAAAAGGAGCGCCAAGTCGCCGGGTCTGCCGTTCAGGATATCGACACCCAACTCGGGTGCGTGGACCATTCGCCATGTCGAGGACTCGAGTTGTCAACAGCCACGGTGCCACAACACCAGCATCAGCGTTGCTCGTGGAATGTCCTTGGCTTAGAACCCCGTGTCGTACGTCGCTCTGGCAAGCAAGGCCTATAATAGCCACGTCGGAGCCTTCCTGCATCAAGGCGCGTCGCTCAGCCAGCGCAGTGCGGTTTGTTCGGGGCCGAACGAAGCCAGAAGACCCGTCATCCAAAGCTCGACCTTCTCTTTACCCCGGATTACCCCATGATTAATGCACATGCATGGCGCAAGGCATCATGTATCCGTGACGCACATTGCCCTAGTGCATGTCCGTCCACGCCGGGGTCAACTCGGCGTGCCTTTTATTAGCTGTACGTAGCAGTGAGCTAAAGGCATGATCCGTTGGAGGCGCGTCCGACCTCGGCCAGGGTCATTCATCGATGGTTGGGAGGTGCGGAGGTGAGGTCGCGACGAGGGGCGCGTGGAGGACACGAACCTGCACTGGCACTGCACTGATGAATGTGGGGCAGACAGGACAGCAGCAACGCGCACTGCTTCTCGCGCGCACTGACGTCAAGTCAACTTTGACCTCGACATCTTCCTGGCCTCGACAACATGAGTCGACTCTACACATGTCTCATCCGGACGCACCATATCACCTCGCGCAAGAAGCTCCATCGCGTCCGTCACGTTGCCAACCAACAGGCGCTCTCGTCTCTCCTCGTGCGATACGGTGGTCCGCCGGGGATCATGTACGCCGAGTCAGATCAGCTCTCACCCCTCGAGCAATGGGTCGCCAGCGTGCAGGCCCTGCGCTACAAGGACTTCAACCTAGCCATCAAACCTGCGGAAATGGCTAGGGAAGGAGATGCCGTTCCGGGCATGGGCTTCTGGGAGACCGAAACCACAGAAGGGTTTCGGGCCGAGATGAAGAGGCGAGGGCTTGAGGAGTGGTGGAAAAATGGTATGGGCTACAGCTCACGTTGAACGAAACCACGCGATTTTCGAAAAGATTAAGTCTGCATACTCCTACAAAGTTTCCTGAAAGAACACCAAAAGATTCGCCTGGTACGCCTAGATATGCGTTCTCCACCAAGGGAGGTGTAGACAGTCTACTGTCTAATCCGTTCATCTGCTCAAGCAGTGGCATCTGCAGCTGCGGGCGCGGGGGAGGCCCCGGCCCCGGCCGCGGGCGCTCTCTCCCTCTGAATCAGCTCAGTGTCGGGATCGCTCTCCTTGCGGCTTGGAGTCTCGTCTCCGAGGGTCTTCTCGTCAAAGCTCCACTTGCTCGAGCGGATCGGGTTTACCTTGCGCACGTACATGGCGTCAATCTCCTCGAGCGTGCGGTCCTTGGACTCAATGACAAAGAAGAACACGATCAACACCAAAGCAGCGCAGCAGCCCGCGAAGACGAGACCGTACAGGTAGTCAATCTCGTCGGTGATGAAGCGCGTGAAGAAGGAGATGAGGCTGGGAAGAAAGTCAGCGTGGTTTTATCGCGTCTCGGGTCATCAATACTCACAAGTTCCAGAACCAGTTGGACGCAGTGGACAGTCCGAGGCAGACACTGCGGTAACGCAGAGGGTACAGCTCAGCGTTGACGACCCAAACGAGTGGCGCCCAGCTGACAGCGAAGGCAGCAATCGCCAGACACGAAAAGGCCACTAGGGCGGTGCCGGCCTTGGGAGTGCGCATGGGATCCTCGTGGTCCAGGGCAAAGTGGCCAACAAAGGCGTACACGCTGCAGTACTCATTAGCTTGGTTCACAAAAAGCGGGTGATCGGCCAGTCTTACAAGAAACACATCATCATCCAGGAGGCGCCAGCCATGAGCACGACTCGGCGGCCAAAGCGGTTGACGACCCACATGCCAGCAACGGTGCAGGCTGCATTGACGGATCCCAGAATCAGCTGGGTGGTGTAGCTGTTCTGGATGCCGGTCGCGGCGAACACAGTGGTTCCAAAGTAGAAGAAGAAGTTGGCGCCCGTGAGCTGCTGGCCGGCCTGCAGGACGACGCCCAACGTGGTGCGGTACAGCATGCGAGGTGCGGTGAAGATCTCCTTGTAGCTCAGGGCGGCCGTGCTCTTGTTCTCCTCGTCGATCTTGGCCTGGAGGTCGTTGATCTGGCGGCTCACAATCGTCGACTCGGCGGAAACACCGCACAGCTTGGCAATGTTCCTGCGCGCCTCCTCAACCCGGCCCTTCTTGTACGCATAGCGCGGGCTCTCGGGCATGAAGAGGATGCCGCCGCCGAGGACCAGAGCCCACGCAAAGGACAAGCCGTTGGGGATCCTCCATGCGGTGCTGTTTGTGTAGTGTTCGGTGCCCCAGTTCACCATCTCGGCGGTCCAGATGCCCAGGGTGATGAGGAGCTGGTACGACGAGACGACGACACCACGGATGACGGCCGGCACACTCTCGCTTTGGTACATGGGGACGGCCACGCTCAGGGCGCCGATGCTGAGACCGCTGATCATCCTGCCGATGGCGAACTGGGCCCACGATGACTGGGAGGATATTTCAATGGCCGTGCCTGCACAAGTGAAGAAGGCCGAGGCGGAGATGCAGAGACGACGGCCGATTACGTCTGCGACTTTACCGGCGATCAGGGAGCCAAACAGAGCGCCGATGCTCATGAGGCCGACAATGGTGCCCTGGCGGGCGGCTGAGAAAGTGTATGATCCATCAGATTGTAGCTCGCCAAAACGGGAGGCATAGTCGTCCATGAGAAAGAAGCCGGAGATCTGTCCACTGTTCCGGCTGTTAGCTGTCGTCCTGGGGCGCTGCGGTTACGACACGTACCTGATATAACCAAAGATGAAGCCGCCAATACTGGCGATGGCTCCCAGGGAGCACGCCAAGAGCGTGACCCTTTCCTTCTCTGCGATATTCGACATTTTCCTTGCCTCTTGGGGTAAAATGTCGTGTGGGATAGGTTTAGGGGAGAGGGAGGGGAGGTTCAGTCAATGATGGCCTGGGTTTTGCTCGGGTGGAATGCAGCAGAGGCGCCAGTCAACCTTGTTGTCACTACGTCTTCGACTCTGGCGTGTGCAACGAACAAGGAGAGTTCAGGACGGACGGTTCCCCATTCGAGCTTTGAGGGAAGCTTTACTCCTCCATCTCCATCTCTCATTCCGCTGCGTCCGCGGCCTGCCCGACTTTTTTTCACCCCAGCGGATGGGATGGCCTTGCCCTGCCCGGCACGTGCGACGGCATTTGCTCCACGCGCGACGCTTCACGATGGACAAGATTCCCACATTAGTCTGTGTCTTCCGCATTGAGGCCGAGAAAGGCATTGATTCAAGGCGCCGTTGTGGTGATACCAGTCAAGACCCGCAAGATTGTAGTGGGACGATATCGACACTTGGACGTCTCGGGCCGATTCCCAAGACAATCGACCGGGAAAGCCGTCGAGCGGTCCACCGTTCTGGCGGTCTTCTAGAATGCAGCAATTGTTTCCGCGTGGTATGTCATCATCAGGGGGTGAAGAGCAGTGAGGCGGGCGTTGTTGAATGAGGTGATGCGGTGCGTCGGGAGAGGCTGCATGCTTCAGCTCAGGAACAGGCGGACGTGAAGATCGCGTCCACTCCGGAGGGTTCAGTCACGTCAATTCCAGACTTTCCGTCTTATCAGATCGGAGATTTTGTTGCCTGCTGACGTCTTGCGCTTTTTTCTCTCTTTTTCTAGTCTCTTTCTTTTACAACATCATGGTCATCCGGTTGCGTGACGTTGCTGCTTAATAAGAAGACACGTCCGCGTGACCCAGCAAGAACTTTTTTCAACGGAGACCATGTCATCATGTCCGTGTGAATCTCCACGAACTTTGTTGACGAGTCAGCCAATTGATCGTGTAATTCACCGCTTATTTCCAGCCCAAAGGGAGCGTGCAGCCGTCAACGACGCGGCACGAGTATTGGTGGTGACGGGTTTGCTCGGGGATATTGGGGGGAATGATGGTCGATTCCTCAAGTTTCCTACCGAATCTTCACGGCAGTCGAGGAGCTTAGCATGCCGCCGTCGCGCGCGCCGGCCGATAGTGGTATAATTAGCTACACACCATCCGGATCCGTCCTTGGCGAATCGGCGGTCCGGAAGCATCGCCGGTGCGGGAGCATCCGGTCCGGCTTGCCAAGTCACGCCTACCCGGGAGTCACGCGGCAGTGCAGTCCTCGACGATGAAACATTGTGATTATAATCTGTTCACATCGTGGCTCATTCACATGGAGGCTCACTTTAGTTCATCAACACCACCCGAGCCCCTGAGATAGTCCTCCGGCTCCAGCCCAAACTCGTCATCGCACTCCTTCGGACCGTTCACAGGATTGCACCTCGCTGCCTTCCTGCCATCGATACGACAGGCGTAATCGCACCCCCATCTGGAACTCATGCCATATACTGGGAAGTCTGTCGAGACGATGTGCGCGCCCGACCGGAGCGCATTATCGCGTTGAGTAGTGGAGCAGTTCTGTCCCACGACCGTGTCCATGGGTACGTCGGCCCGGGTACGCACCCAGTAGCCGGCTTCGACTTGTTCTTGGATGTTGGCAATCTCATGCTCCGTGTTGGGCTCGTTGAGCTGGGGGAGTGTCAGCCGCAAACTCTTACAAAATGATGCGATTTCGAAGGCTTACCTTTTGGAAAGCACAGCTCGACTCCCCGGGCTGGGAGTTGGTAAAAAGGACGCGGCCCTCGAGGTTAGGTCTGCCCTCAATGTAGGCAGATCGCACATCACTCTCCCCATTGTCCATCAAGAAGAAGATCTTGCCCCTGGCGCTATCCAAGTCTGGCCATCCCCTGCCCAGCACCGATTCCTCGAGCGTGAGGTTGCCGTCCCTCAGATCATCCGGCACGATCAACCTCTGCCTACCGAGAATCTCTACAATCTCCTCGTCAAGGCCATCCAACAGGCCTTCGCCGTCCCAAGGAATGGCTTTGGCACCGAGGTCGCGGTCCGCGGTCTTGAACTCCATCATGATGGGGATGGGCACGGCGAGCGGGTGGGCGTCCATCCAGTCGCGGATGATGGCGAGGCAGGACTTGAGGGTCTTGCAGACGGTGTGGACGTCCGCGTCGGGTACGTGCAGGACTTTGACGCCGGGCTCGTCCCAGACAGGGTCCGAGTCGTAGGGCAGACCAGCCTCCCTGCGGATGGCAGGTTTGGCGTAGTTACCACCCTCGGGGTCGGCAAGGACGTCAATCCTAGATCGGAGTCATCAGTGCTGGGCCAATGTCATTCAAAGACTTGGGGTGAACGTACTCGAGGTTCCTCATCTGCTGGTCACCGAGCTGGATGCCTAGCTGTGGGTGCGAGTACCAGTAGTTGATGGCATTCTCCAAGAGCTCGGCCTGGACCTCCTTCTCCTCATTCGGAGCCTCAATATGATAGCTGTTGTGTGTCCCGACCACTTGCATGTGGTTCATGCGAAGGGCGCCGTCAGTCCAGGTCAGGTTGCTCTTGGAGCAGCTCTTGGCGAGGGCTGCGGGCAGCACTTTGTCTTGTCAGAGGCGTCTTACTCTGCAGGTATGACAATGACTTACGTGCCAAGGTAAGAATCGACTTGAGAGCCTGCAATTTGTGCTGTCAGTGATGGGTAGCGTGACGTGACTTGGTCAGGACTCACCATGGCCACGGATCTTCAACGACAGGGAACGAAGTGGTTGGTAAGTGAAGCTCCGAGGATGAGACAAGCCAGGGCCCTTTGGGGTTGTATTTAAGCAATGTCATCCTTTCAGTCTCGATCCCCACGTGTAGAGGACCACCAACGTGCCATCGCGAAGTGAACCCTGGTCATGGAAACATGAATTCCGAAGGGAGTGGTCTGCATGCTCCAATCTGCGAGCTTGGATGCCAACACGTGCCGATCTTGAAGGACGTGCATTGGGAGGGACGCTGCGATACTCGAGGCGCCGTCCTCAAAAAATGATCAAGCATATTCCCAACTCTAATCGACGAGTGCGTACGACTTCGGCACTTCTGATGGATGCCCCGATATTCGCTTGGCTTGGGCGATCATCCTTGTCGCATTCGTCCGCCGTTTGCCAACCAGACAGATCGCAGGTTGAAGGGGATCCATCACGATCCTCACTGGCAAAATGCCCAATGCTCGAGCACTCGACTGTAGCAGGATGGCAATTGCCACTATTGCTCGAGCGATGCTCCGACTGGAGGCTTAGTGAGGGCGACGATCCGTCTGCCTACTTGGTGTCCCCGCGTCGTCATTGCCCCTCCAATACAGAAGCAGCCCCTCCATAATTGACTGGAGCTCCGATGCAGCTTCTGCCACTGGAAGACTGAACATCAAATCTTGTCCATGCTCCATCAACTACGAATCCCATCTGCCATCCTCATCCTGGCGACTCTACTCTTCTTCATTCCCCGTCTATCCTTCCGAACCTCGACATTCTCCAAACCGTACTCGACCCTCCCATCGTCCTTTCGAGTCAGCGGCACCACCACCATCAAGATGAGCTACACAAACGAACTGAGGATCGCCCTCCTCGCCGTCCAGCGCGCCTCCCTCCTCACAAAGTCCGTCTTCCACTCCAAAGCCAAGGGCACGGTCGACAAGAACGACAAGTCCCCCGTCACCATTGGCGACTTTGGCGCCCAGGCCCTCATCATCGCCGCCCTGCAGAAGCACTTTCCCGACGACGAGATTGTCGCAGAGGAGGAGGCCGCTGCCCTCCGCGAACAGCCCGAGCTCGGCGACACAATCTGGGACATTGTCAGGCAGACGGCCCTCAGCGATGACCACGCCGAAAAGGAGCTGGGCGGTGCCATTGCGAGCAAGGAGAGCATGCTGGCCCTGCTGGACAAGGGCAACAGCGCAGGGGGCAGCAAGGGTCGCATCTGGACCATCGACCCCATTGACGGCACGAAGGGCTTCCTCCGCGGCGGCCAGTACGCCGTGTGCCTCGGCCTCATGGTCGACGGCGACGTCAAGGTCGGCGTCCTTGGCTGCCCCAACCTGCCCGTCGACGACCAGGCCCCTCTGACGGCCGACATTGGCTCCAACCAGACCTCCGACGGCCATGGCGTGCTCTTCTCCGCCGTGCAGGGACAGGGCGCCACCTCGCGCCCCCTCACAGACGGGCCCCTGGCGCAGGAAAAGAGCATCTCTATGCGGGCCGTGCCCTCGCTCGCCGAGGCCACCTTTTGCGAGTCCGTCGAGGCCGGCCACTCGGCCCACGGCGACCAGGCCCAGATCGCCCAGAAGCTCGGCATCACAAAGCCCAGCGTCCGCATGGACTCGCAGGCCAAGTACGGCTCCATCGCCCGTGGCGCCGGTGACATCTACCTGCGCCTGCCCGTCAAGGCGACTTACCAGGAGAAGATCTGGGACCACGCGGCGGGTGACCTAATCGTGCGCGAGGCCGGTGGTGAGGTGACGGACATTCACGGCAAGAGGCTGGACTTTAGCGTGGGCAGGACACTGGCCAACAACAAGGGCGTCGTGGCCGCGCCCAAGGCGAGCCACGGCGAGGTCCTAAGCGCGGTCCAGGAGGTCTTGAAAGCCAAGCTGTAGAATGGGCGGGATACGCAAAATGAAACTGTTTATGCCGTCTCTCGAGGCCATGAATTCAAATCATATATCCTGACGCCAAACGTTCTTATCCCACAATCACTAATTCGTCGTCATCGTCATCATCGAAAGTTATCTCCCGTCCTTGGAACCCCGTCGCGCCCAGGCTCTCGCGGCCTGCCTCCCGTATCCCCTTCTCCGTGACGAACCTCGTCTTCTTGCGCACAGGCGGTTGCTGGTCGCTGTCGGGATGGAGCTTCTCCCCATCCCGCATCTTGGAGAGCTTGCCCTTGAGTTCGCTCCCCCACCCCAGTGTGCTGCTGCTCACGCTGCCCGCGTTCGTGCTGTCTGGGCGCTTTCTCTTAGTGGTCCCGAGATTGATGTCTCGCTCTGGAAGGCCCGGCGGCCTTGGGAGTATGTTGCTCGGAACAGTTGGCTTCGCGCTTTCTTGAGACACCTTGGTCTTGGACCGCGCGGCGATGGCACGCTCCATGTAGTCTCTGCCAGCGCCCGTACCAGTCTTGGCAAGTTTCGCCTGTATCTCGCGCTCCTTTTCCCTGGCTAGTAGATTCCGTTGCAAGTGGGCCTCCTTCTCCTTCCGGTCCGTGTTGGTCAGATCCTTGCCATCCAGCAGGTCGGCGGCACTCATGCTTTGTCGGGTGTAGAATCTCGTCTTGGTCTCCCAGTCGTAGTTCTTGGGTGCCTTTCTGGCAAAGAACTCTTCCTTGCTCACCCCCTTTCTGGCAAAGTACTCTTCCTTGCTCACCCAGCCAACCTTCTTCTGCCACTTCTCCATCTTGTCTATCGAAGACATCCCCTTTTTCTTGGGTCCAGATCCAAATCCAGATCCGGTGTTCATCTCAAAGCGTTTGAGCTTAGTCTTGTCCACCACCGCATTTACGTGGTATTCGCAGAACTTGGTACGACGCTTGTTGACCCACGCGCCGCAGGGGTCGCCATCTTTCCGCAGGGCTTCGCAGTAGTGCATGTCGCGAGCCCGGCCGATCTCCAGGATGGTGTCTTCGTCAGAGTTAATGACCAGGCTGAATCGACCCGTGTCTTGTTTGCCACGCATGGGCGGCATCACATTCGGGTTGAGGATCGCCACGACCGTCCCCTCTGTGAGCTTCCAGAAGCGATCAAACCCAGTGTTGAAAAGAAACAGGTCAAGCTCCCACTCCAGATCACACAGTGTCATGACCATGTACTTGCCTCTGTCTTGGCTCTTGTCTGGCCCTGGCTTGTGATCGCGGGGCGCAGACTTCCTCGCCACAATTCCAAAGCATACAATGTCCTGTTCGATGTCGGGGAGCGCAAAGTCGGGGGCCTTGACGTCGCGCAAGAGATCCTTGATGTTCATGATTTTCTTGCCCGACACATGCCGCGCCAGAACGGTATGGGGCAAGATCCGTTGGGCCAAGTGCAGGCTTGAGTATGTTTCGAAGGAGCCTTCATCCTCGTTTTCCGCTTTCCCTGTCCCATCAGCACTACTCGATGCCAACTTGGGCGCCGTTTTGCTCTTTCGCATGCCTGATTCCTTCCATTCTGCAGCCATGACCTCCTCCCTGCTGAAGACTGTCGGCTTGGGCGCCTCCTCGGGTATCTCGACGGCTTTGCTCTTGAACTGCTCCATCTCCTCTTTGCCAATGCCAAATGACTTGTTCCTGAACAGTTGGATCTTCTTCGCCCGCTCGTCCTGCTCGATCTCTTTCGTTCTCGCTACCGCTAGTCTTTCGCTGAACGTCAGACCGCGCGAGGGCGAAGCGAAATGTCCCGGCGCACTGGCGGGCTGAGCCGGTTGGGGATGAGCGGAGGCGGGACGTGCAGACGCTGCCGCGCGACTGTGCGTGCGTTCAATGGGCTGGAAACCTTTATCCAGGCTAAATTGCTTTCTCCCAGCGGCTTCGATGGGTGGCTGTAGTTTCCTCGTCGGCGATGCTGGGATCTGGACGGCGCTCTGCTGCTCTGGTCGTAGATTCTCGTCGCGCCCGGCCGCCATTCGCTGCATTGTATGTGATCTCTCCAAGACTGAACTTCGCCCGCCTGTCACAGGTTGCTTTTCCTCCACCGCCTTTGCAGCCCGTAGCTTCTTCAGCTTCAACCGCGCCTGTAGCTCTTGGAGCTTGAGCTGGAGAGTCTCCTCATCATCGTCGTCGTCGATCTCGACGTCGAGTGTAGCAGGAGCGCTGATTCGCATGCGGGACGGGGACGAGGTGGGAGAGTTCTGCATCTCGCGATAACGTTGACGACCTTTAGGCGTGCTGAGAAGCGCTTCGTGCGGTGACCGCGGCGGCCATTGTGCGCTTGGGGAGCCTGCTTTTGTGAGCATGTAGATCTTGGCAGTGTTCTTGGTTACGCACTTGGGGGCGCCATGTTGTTCGAGCCTGACGACGTTGATGCCGCAGGGTCGGTCCCAGAGGGGAGCAGCCTGGGCTGGCGTCGGAGCGTGCCTGTTGCCTTGAAATTGACCCAAGGCCTTCAGCACCATGCGAACGATAGATTGTAAGGTTGGCAAAATGATGATGATGCTGAAAGATGGGGCCGGTAGTGTATGCAGGTCACTAGGTGTGGCGTTGATCTGAGATCTGGGGTTCGTTTCTTGGCTGAGGCTGAGACGCGCTTTACGCGCCCAGGCCCTCTCGACGCGTCCCCCAAACTTCTAACATCTCCGTCACCACATCTTGAACTGCCATTCTTCAGCTATTCCTGGCTAACTCTGGCGTGTTTCTATTGTTGGCAATTGGGCCATCTAGATTGAATTACTCCATCATACAAAGCAGATCGGCAATGCCTCGCACAAGAACAGCAAAGGCCGCCGCGCCTTCGTCTCCAACTGCGGAAACACCCAAAGCATCCAGCAGCAAATACACTCTCGAAGCCACAACGACGGCATCGCCGAAGCTCTTTGTCCTACCCAAGGCTGCCTCGAAAGAAGCCAAAATCGTCACACTCCCCAACCCTCGAACCGCGAAACCATCCCGCTACCTCGTATGTCCTCAGACCGGCTTCTACGAATTCACCAAGATCGCAGCACCAAAGAGCGTGCCCCGAAGCTGGCTGATAGAGACGACGAGCGACTCACAAAGAAGCGGGCAGACTATTTCGAACGCTGAATTTTTCATTGCTTCACCACTGGATCCGGTATTCCTCTTACTGCCGTCGCTTGCCGATTCTTCGATAGCAAAGGGCTCAGACGACAAGAAGAAGCTGTTCCTCTCCGGCGACGATTACTTCGATCAGCTTCCAACAGAATACTCGCACCTCGAGGAAATCCTACAATGGACAGAATCGAAGACTGTACTCGAGAAGCGCATGGCAGCCATATGCGACACGGTAGACGCAGGGGATGAAACGATGTTCCGAATCAACAGGGAGAAGCTTGTATCGCTCTGTTTAAGCAAAGCTAGAACATTGTCCGGTTCGCTGCCCATCAGCGTGGAGAAGCAATTTGTGGCAAAGGCTCTACAGGCCCCCGTTGTAAACCAGAGGCGGGCTCCTGTGCAGAAGAGCGCGTCGACACTGAGCGAAGCCCCAGATTCGGGTACCTCGACGCCTCTCACTGAGACGCTGGAATCGCAATCCTCAGCTGCCACAATCGAGACGGCAGCCACCTCGGTGGATCAGGACACGGTCGAGGTGGAAGAAGCAATTAAACCGACCGAGGACGTGGTTGAACTACAAAGACTTCGTGTTGCCTTGGATTTCATATGCGACCGGTACATCTCGCCAGCCGTGACGCAATGGGTTAAAGAAGGCCTAGCCTCCAGCAATGTCCAATTCTCAGCCCTAGACGAATATCTGGCCAAGGTTGCCGAACTTCGTGCCGAGGCCTTGGCAGCAAGATCCTTGGGCGACTACTCTCGGAAACACATGCGAGACGAGGACGATGACGATGCGCGCGAACAGAAGAAGCGCAAGATGGAGGAGGAGAAGAGACGGAAGCAGAACCAGAGCAGAGGAGTCAGGGATCTAAAGAAGGTGAATACCACGGGGATGATGAAGCTCAGCAGCTTCTTCCAGAAGAAATAATAGCACAGCATCCGTTTGCATACTACATCAATGCGTCTCCTCATGGGTATCATGGTTCTCATTACAGGTGCAGCGGGACGTTCATCTAGCACCTCTGCCGCGTCCTCGTGTCGACCCAATGCCGCGGCCGATACCTGAAGTTCCTCGACTGCTGGTGGTGGATGGCCCATCGGACAGATAGCTTGTGCCTGCTCTTGCGGCTGCGGAACTAGCAGCTCGGGCTCGGCTGGCCCGCGTGCCACGGACACCTGGAGCTGCTCGTGTGCTTCTTGTTCTCGTCGGCGGCGCCCGTTGCTTCTCCTCCTGTTCCTCTCGTTGTCGCCGTCTGAGCTCCTCGCGTCTTTCCGCCTCAGCGGCCCGTCGTTCGGCAGCCTGTCGTTTCCTCAGAACTTCGGCCTCCTGCTCGGCCTGGTCCTCGGTTGTACCCTTCCACGCAGGATTCAGCAAGAGGCGTTGATTGTGTTCAGTCTGCGAGAGAATGCGAGTCCACGAGCTCAGCAGTGTTGACGCATGGCCCACAGTGGCAGCTACAACCTAGTAAAGAGCAGTATCAGCAAATTGTTCTTGTCACTCAAAGGGTCAGACTAACATTCATGTTGCCTCCTGCTCGCTCGAGTGTAGCGAGAACACCCTCGAGCGACTCATTGATGCCTCTCACCCCTTCTAACTCCCTTTTTAATGCGGCGTCAGGGTCATCATCCTCATCTCGCTGCTCGGTGGTGGTGGGCGTTTTGGGCGTCTTTGGTGTCCGGGGAGTCTTTGGCCGGATCGTGTGGGGGGTGCCATGGGGCGGTGACGACCACAACTCGGATTGTTCTGTAACTTCGTCCTTTGCCATTGTGCTGCTCCGCCAACAAACGGTGTGGTGTTGAATCAAGCCAGTGACGCCATGTGTTGTTGCTCAAAACGGTCGTTTGGCGGGCCACGAGGAGCCCTGCGTGCACCCCACCATCAATTAAGAACTTGAGAGGACGATTGGTGAATGCGGACGCGAAATCGACGCGTCAAGCTGTTGTCCGCGCGACGCGCCCGCTTGCGTCCAATTAAAGTGTCGCCATCTGATTGGCTGCAGCCCTCCCAGCCACCTTCTGCAGCCACTGACAGCTGATCCTTGCGTCAAAGCGGGGCCCACCTCAAGAAGCTCAAGCCTCAATGCGTCCAAGGTAGTCGAGCTCGTTCCCAGCCACCCTACAGCAATAGACCAGCCTTCCATCCCGTCCAAGTCCAACGTCAGGCGTCTCCGTTTTCCCATCTAATCGACATCACCAACATCATCCTCAAGTCAACAACAACAACGCGCGCACCCCTTTGTCGATCGGTGCAAGATACCTACTACTTGGACGCAATTGTATGATACCTGCGACATTGTTTACTACCGAGATTCCCGACTGTTGCGACCACAAGTCCACCAAGAGCAGAACCCCGACCTAGGTTGAAAATTGGGTGACTCGAGACTCGTCAGTCAGGTTCAGACGACACTCGGACACTTCACCACTCAATCACATCTGGCACACGACAGATTCGAGTGAATTGAAAGTCACGTTTCAATCTCGGGGCGCTACCCCTCATCACATTCACGCGCCATCAATATGGCCTCAACACCATCACCCTCTATCGAGCGACCCTCGACTCCTCCTGCCCCCAGATTTGGCGCCTACCACGATCATTGGGAACCTTTTCAAAGACGCAAGTCCTCTCGCATTTCATCCCAACAAGCCACATCGGCTGTTCGCACGCCCTCACCGCCCTGTGCATCTACCATGAAGACGGAGAAGCGAACAAACAAAGGGTCAGCGCGCAAGCCCGACCAGACTCTCCTCACACCAACCAAAACACCACGCAGGACCAAGACCATGAAAGAGTTCAGCGGTCGAGTCCTTCCCTCTGTCGACGAGAGCGTCCTCAGTCGCACAGGCCGGACTTTTAAGAAGATTTCTGGCTCAACACTGGAGAGCTTTGTCGCAGAGGAGCAGGATCAGGACTTTGCTATCTTCAGTGATCCCCGCAATGGTATTCCCCAGAAGGACGAGGGCAGTCCCTTCTACAACCCGCCGCCTGCACCCAAGAGACCTGCACATCTCAAGCGCAAAACAGTCAGAATTCCTGGGGAAGGTTCCAAGTTGATTGATGAAGCTGTGCATCGCGAAGATGGCATGGTTATGAACTTGTAAGTGTAGCCCACAAATGTGTTCCTGTACAGCGTCCGCTAACCAGCATAGCCGCGGAAAGACGTACTTTCAGCCGATCACTAGATCTGCCGCCGACGATTCCAATGAGATTGATGAACTCTCCCAAGGGGATGGGTCGCTATCACATGTCAAGGCCAAGCCCTTCAAGCCGAGGCTGCTGTGGCCAAGCAAGAAGACTGAAGACAAGGACTTGATAGACGAGGAAGAGGCTGCGACAGATATTGAGGATGCGAACCTGCCAGAGTCTGACGACTTGCCTGCTAGCCCCGTCACGCCAGTTCGCAACAGGACCACAAAGGCGACACCAAACGCACCCAAATTCCCTGTTTCACCGCCGGCAACGCAACGGACAACCCGCTCCACCGAGAAGCTCGCTCACCCAACACCGTCCCGAAGCAAGGCTGGGCGTTCTCAGCAGCCTGCACTCAACTACAACAAGTGGGGATCCGTCGCTAAGACGCGCAAGACGGCGACGACGACGGGCAAGCGCGTAGCAGATGAACCCCTCGGTCAGGATCGCCCCAAACGAGCGCGATCATCGGAGGCGCAGACATGAGAATTCGAGTGCTTTGGATTGAGAGATGCACGGATATCAATGGACAATAGCGCTGGCACGGATCTTTTTGGCGTTTGACAGCAATCATCGACACCTTCTTTGGTGGAGGAAGGCTGCCTCCCCTTTTGCTTAATACTCTTGCGTCTTCGTCTCCTTGGTATAGGTGCCTTGGATCTTCTTGTTCATTCTTCTCTCACAACATGACTTGATTGGATGGACACAGAAATGGCACATCCTGGACGGAAGAGACTTTCTTGCATCGCGACTCAGCTTAGGATGGATATTGAGGGAAACTAGATAGATACCTTTGTGATGAATGTCAAAACATTTCCACATTTCATTGTTTGCCAATTGTCAGTCCCAATGACCTCGAAATAACCGAACCGCTGTCGCTCACGCTGAGCCCACCCGTTGGCGCCCGACGAGCAGTTGGGGCCGCCATCGGGATTCAGAAAATAGCCCCACGCTGCCCCTCGTTGGTGATGTCCTCTACCTCCACGCTTCATGTTGCCTTCGAGTTCTTAGGCCTCACACGAATCTTTCGATCGTTCCAGGGCTGTTCGATCTTTTCCAATTCCACAATGCATATCCTCGTCACCAACGACGACGGCCCCCCATCGGCACAGTCGTCGCCGTACGTCCACTCCCTCATCAACCATCTGCAAGCCGCGGGCCACGTCGTCTCGGTCTGTCTTCCGCACACGCAAAGATCATGGATCGGAAAGGCGCATATGATCGGGCAGACCCTGAAACCTGTGTACTACCGCCCCTCAAAGAATCCACATGACGCGGACGAGGGCTCGACGCACACGAGACCGCACGCTGGAGACGAACAAGAGGAATGGGTGCTCATCGACGGGACGCCTGCGAGCTGCGTACAAATTGGGCTCCACCACTTCTTCCAAGAGCGAGGACCGATCGATCTCGTCGTAAGCGGGCCAAACTATGGACGAAATACCACGGCAGTGTTTGCCCTGAGTTCAGGGACGCTGGGTGCAGCGCTCGAGGCAGCGGTGTGCTGCCGCAAGTCCATTGCGCTGTCGTTTGCCTTCTTCACGCGGAATCACGACCCCCAGATCATCGACGAAGCCTGCCGGCACAGTGTCAAGGTCATCCATGCTCTGTACAAGCAGTGGCCTGAGGACAGGAGCGTAGATCTGTACAGCGTGAACGTGCCGTTGGTTGAGGGCGTTGAGGGTCACAAGACGGTATTCACCGAAGTCTTACAGAACTACTGGCGGGATGGTAGCTGCTTCCAGGAGGCAGAGGCCGAAGATGAAGACGAACAAGAGGAGGAGATCCGCAAGGGTGAGGTGGAAGGGAGCAAACGCGAGGAGAATGGCAAGGGCCACAAGCACAAGCACTTCAAGTGGGCGCCCCGGTTCACTGATGTGTACAAGAGCGTCGAGGAGTCAGGCCCAGGCAATGACGGCTGGGTTGTCAAAGAGGGTCAGACCAGGTACGTTTTCCGCGCGACCAAGTAGGCACAAATAACTGACCGATTTAGCATCACACCACTCAAGGCCAACTTTGCCAGTGCTCTTGGAGATAAGTCTCGAGAGTTGGTACTGTAAGTGGTTCCCTTTGTGTTAGGCGGGGATAGATCATGATGAAACGATGATATGAGCGCATCACCTTGTAACGTATGCATGCACTCAATAGAGCACATTCTTACCACATATAGTAGACCGTCTTCACAGCACATGACTGAAGCCTTGCCTTCCAGGAGCAAGGTTCAAGAGCCATCTTTTGAGGCAGTTGTGGCGTATGACGACCCATATGTCCAACCACTAATTGTGTCGGCGCTCAAGAAGACATTCCCACAGGATACCGTCCGCATAAGCGAGGCCCTGACATCGTCCTTCCACTCTGCGACAAAGACTGTCGCTATCACTGCCTACGAAGCCATCGACTTTGAACACGCCGCAGCCAACCCGCGCGACTTTCTCATCAACAGCTACATGATCCGCAAAGCGCTGATACGAAAGCACTTTTTGTCCACGACGATTGACCACTGGACTGCCAAGAACCCAGACTCGATCCTCAAACGCTCTTTCAAGCGGAGCGAGCACTTCGAGGTGGATTACGCCGAGTTCCTCGACGATGCCCTCATTGAAGCGTTTGATCTGCGAGAGAGTATGGAGAGCAACGAAGAGAAGGACATCAAGGACAGAGAATGGTGGATACTGAAACCTGGCATGAGTGATAGGGGACAGGGAATCAAGCTCTTTAGTTCCATGGATGAACTGCAGGGTATCTTCGACAAGTGGGAGGAGGACCGACCAGACTCTGACGACGAGGAAGACGAAGACGAGGAGCAACAAGGGAAGGGCGACTATATCACCACCTCCCACTTGCGGCACTTTGTTGCCCAGCCATATATCCACCCGCCTCTTCTGCTCCCAGGCGACGATCGGAAATTTCATATCAGAACCTACGTTTGCTGCGTGGGAGCTCTCCGAGTCTACGTCTATCAGGACATGCTGGCACTCTTCGCAGCAAAGTCATACAAGGCGCCGTACGAGGAGTCCGACGACATTGAAACCTTCCTCACGAATACCTGTCTCCAATCGTCACCGAACGAGAACACCGTCCAGCTCCTGTCCTCCTTGCCACTAGACAAGTCAACATTGGAATCGATCACAAAGCAGATTGGCGAGATCACAGGCGAGCTGTTTGAAGCTGCGGCCTGGGCCATGCCAATTCACTTCCAGCCCATGCCCAATGCTTTTGAAGTATTTGGACTGGACTTCTTGGTCGACAGCAATGGCAGCGTCTGGGGATTGGAGGTGAATGCCTTCCCTGACTTTAGACAGACGGGAGGCGAGCTCAAGGGTGTCGTGGAGGGTTTCTGGGAAGGGGTGGTGAACAACGGGGTGAAACCTTTCTTTGGAATGGATCAGGGACCGGCTGACAAGCTGACGTTGGTGAGGGATGTCGACCTTGGGAGACGATGATGATCTTGCACCTAGGGGGGGCATTCACATATGCGCCACATCCCGGCCCAGCCATCATTGTTCGAGGTAAGAAACCATCCGTCACGCAATGTTATGGAAACCATACAGGTAGGATACGGAAGAATATTCTCAACGCAATTATTGTCACGACTCTCACGAGATAGATCACAAGCTATAGGTTAGGCTACGGGCTGGTTGGTCAGACGCTTTCGCGATAGCCCCACTACGGTCTTGGCACAGGCGAGCTAAGCTCTAATCAGCTACGGGAGCCTTATCCGTTCGACATGATGTAATTGCTCAACCTCATCCATCTCGCGCTCTCGTGAATCCTGAAGCTCTTTCCCAATTCGAGAAGCTCGTGCCCTTGCCTTTGAAGGCCGAACTGAACCTTCCAAGGTGACGGATGTGGACGCGACACCCCTGAGATCCTCAATCCTGCTATCATATACCTCTTTTGCGATGCTGCATTATCGCACCAACGATACTCTTTATCGCCTACCTTTAGGGCGTGACAGCTTCATCAAATTACGCGCTCGCTGCCACGGCAGTCGAAGCTACGTTCTCTCAGCATACTAGCTATCTCAAGTGCTCGTTGGATAGGCACTTGGCAGCGCAGCATCTCAGCTTGGACCCACGTCAACGCGTCTCAACGCTACCTTTTGCCTCGGGGCTGATGCAGTTCTAGCAGCTACCGTCCAATATGTCTCAAACTCCTCCACGTAGCGACAGTGGGACTACGAAACGTGCGCCTTCACCCAACGCTCATCCTCCACAACAGAGCAACAAGACGACGCCCGAGCTCCACATTCGGACAGACCTCAGTCGAGACAGCGAGGCGGACGCTGGTGGGTCGACCGGCGCAGAAGCTGAAGATGATGGCTCGGCAAGCAGACATCTGGAGGTTCCCTCGGCCCATGGAAGTTCTCGCCGAGGTAACAGGTCCAGCGGCCAGGGCTCCGCCAGTCCTAGGTCAGATGGACAATCCGCTACATCTGCTCGCCATCAGCAGCAGCCGAGCGAGACGAGCGGATCCTCTTCAGGGAATGGACTTGCTGCCATCGAGGCTGATAGAATCATGTCGGACCACGACGCACTGCGACCCGATCGTGGTGCCGAGAACGCCTTCTTCGTTCAAAACAACCCCTTTGCCTTCTCGCCAGGTCAACTAGCCAAGATGTACGACCCAAAGAGTCTTGCGGCATTCTATGCACTTGGAGGCTTGACCGGTCTGGAGAAGGGGCTGCGCACTAACCGCAAGCTTGGTCTCGACCCAGGCGAGACGCTCCTCCGCGGCAATGTGACATTCGAGGAAGCGACAGAAGCGGGCACTAAGACGTCCTACAACGCTAATAGCGCGAAAGCTCCCGTCGGCGGCGATGCGCAGCCTTTTGAGGACCGACTGCGCGTGTACAGTGACAATCGTGTCCCTGCACGTCAAGGCCAGAGCTTCCTCAGTCTGGTCGCAGACGCATTCAAGGACAAAATGATCATCATGCTCTGTATTGCTGCTACCATCAGCTTGGGCATTGGGATCTACATGACCATCATGGAGAAGAAGGAAGGCGGCGACAAGACCCCAAGCAGAGACGACGACAGAGAGGAGAAAGTCGAATGGATCGAAGGCGTGGCAATCCTCGTCGTCGTGGCTCTCTGTGTGCTTGTCCAGGCAGTCGTGGACTGGAGAAAGGAGAAGCGTTTTGCTGAACTCAACCAGAAAGAGCAGGACAGGACTGTCAAAGTTGTCCGCAACGGAGAGACGGTCGAGATCTCCATCCATACGCTCATGGCCGGTGACGTGGTGCAACTTGAGCCGGGAGATGTCATTCCCGCCGACGGTGTACTCATCCAGGGGTTCAATATCAAGTGCGACGAATCTCAAGCGACGGGCGAGTCGGACCTGCTTCGCAAGCAATCTGCTGATGAAGTCTTCTCCGCCATCGAACGTCGGAGCAGCCTTCAGAAGATGGACCCCTTTATCCTGTCAGGCGCCATCGTCAACGAAGGTGTGGGTACGTATCTTGTCACGTCGACCGGTGTGTATTCCTCTTACGGCAAGATCCTCATGAGTCTCGATGTCGAGCAGGAGATGACGCCGTTACAACACAAATTGGGATACATTGCTCAATGGATCGCCAAGCTCGGTGCTTTTGTTGCTGTGGCGTTGTTCCTCATCCTGATGACGCGGTTCTTCCTGAAGCTCAGAAGGACAAACACGGATATAAAAGCCGACGAGGCCTTCAAAAAAGCGATTGACATACTTTTGGTCGTCGTCGTCATTGTTGTCGTGGCGATTCCCGAAGGCTTGCCTCTATCGGTGACTTTGGCGCTTGCGTACGCAATGATGCAAATGCTCAAGGACAACAATCTCTGCCGGCATCTCAAATCGTGCGAGGTCATGGGAAGTGCCACCACCATTTGTTCCGACAAGACCGGCACTCTGACGCAGAATAAAATGACCGTCGTTGCTGGCACCGTGGGCATCAGTCATCAATTCGAGGAGCATGGTGACTCTGATAGCCCACTGGAAAGGCCCAAATCGGTGAAGGACTGTCTGAGCGAGATCAGCCAGTCTATCAGGGATCTTTTGAAGGACTCCATTGCTCGCAATTCAACAGCTCGGGAAACCTTGGACGACGATGGGAATGTCCGATTTGTGGGGTCTAAGACGGAAACAGCGCTGCTCATGTTCGCCCAGGAACACCTCGGCATGCAACGTGTGAGCAATGAGCGGGAGGCGGCCAAGGTGCTGTATCTCATACCCTTTGATTCTCGACGCAAGTTGATGGGAACCGTTGTGGAGCTCCCACATGGCGAGGGGAGCCGTATCTACGTCAAAGGTGCTTCTGAGATCATCCTCGACCACTGTGGCCAGATTCTGCGCGAGCCACGTGAGAAGCTGGATACATCTCTAGGGCCACTGTCTGACGACGATGTGACCGAAGTTCATGACCGCATTGATGACTATGCCAGTCGTTCCCTACGAACCATCGGGATTGCGTATCGCGATTTCGAGAGCTGGCCCCCGAGCGGCGCCAAAACTACGTCAGATGGTGATCTCGACATCGATGACCTTCTGCAGAACCTGTGTTTCGTGTCACTGGTGGGTATCCAGGATCCCCTCAGGCCTGGTGTGCCTGAGGCTATTGCCAAGTGCCAGAAAGCCGGCGTCTCTGTACGCATGGTGACTGGCGACAATAAGCTCACGGCACGTGCTATTGCTTCCGAATGCGGTCTTCTCCAAAAGGACGGCATTGTGATGGAGGGCCCCGAGTTCCGAAACCTGACAGCCGATCAGCAGAAGGAGGTCCTGCCGCGCCTACAAGTCCTTTCCCGATCCAGTCCGGAGGACAAACGCGTCTTAGTGATCAGGCTCAAGGAGATGGGTGAGGTCGTTGCTGTGACTGGTGACGGCACCAACGATGCGCCCGCTCTCATCAACGCCGATGTTGGGTTCTCCATGGGCAAGTCTGGGACGGACGTGGCCAAGCAAGCGTCTGCCATTGTGCTCCTCGATGACAACTTTGTGAGCATTGTGCAGGCTTTGAAATGGGGACGGTCTGTCAACGACGCAGTCAAGAAGTTCCTCCAATTCCAGCTGACCGTCAATTTGACGGCACTGGCGGTCGCCTTTATTACGGCGGTAGCCAGCGAGAGGCAAAAGTCGGTCTTGACCAGCTTGCAGCTCCTCTGGGTGAACATGATCATGGACACATTTGCCGCACTGGCTCTTGCGACAGACAAGCCCGAGGACGACATCTTGGACAGACAACCCGAGTCGCGCAAGGCGTTTATTGTCACGCCGACAATGGGCAAGATGATCGTCTTCCAAGGGATATACCAGCTATGTGTCGCTCTTCCGGCGTACTTTTGCGACAACTTTATGGACCTCCAGTTTGGGGAAGGACAGAAAGCGGCCTTTGTCTTCAACACGTTTGTGTGGATGCAAATCTTCAACCAGTGGAACAACCGCCGCCTTGACAACAAGTTCAACATCTTTGCCGGAGCCCACAGAAACTTCTATCTTCTCGGAATCAATGCTGTCATGATCATTGGACAAGTAGCCATCATGCTGTTGGGCAAGGGTATACTGTACCAAGGCGAGCCGCAGACGCTGGAGATGTGGTCGGTGACTCTAGCATTTGGTGCTCTGTCACTGCCGGTGGGCATGGTCATCCGACTGATTCCCGATAGATGGTTCATGTCACTTATCGGTGGCCTCGGCCGGTTGTTGCCGACGACGGTGAAGGAGCGTGCGAAGAAGTCTGCGGGCGCCCAAACCACGGACGAAGAGATTGGCACGTACCCTGACGCGTTGGTCGAGATACACGATGAGCTCAAGTTCCTGAGGCGCTGGCGGGGAGGTCGCATCCGTAGTCTACATGCTGCCATCCGCCATCCGCGCGAGGCCTTGAGAGTAGCTTGGAGTCCAGCAACGCCACCGACCCCCGTGCTCTCAGGCGAGGAGGACGAGACAACGGGGCGACGAGCCAGGTCGAGGACGAATCCTACGCTGGGAGCGCCAACGGCGATGGCGGGCATCGTGGCTGCTGGCATTGGTATGGGGTGGTCGCCCATCGAAGGGTCTCCGCGCCCCTTGGAAAGAAAGAAGTCGGGCGGAAGTCAGCTGGCAAGTCCGAGGAATGGTAGCCCAGGTGCCAGTGATCGCGTTGGCTTGTGAAGAAGAGAGGACAAGGTTGTCGGGCGGCATGAGTGACACCTTTGGTCTATGAGCATTGTTAATTCTCGTTCCTTATAATGTACGATTTTGCAAGAGTTGCTGGCACGATAGGCCGAACTCCTGGCCCAACCAGCTCGAAGACGCAGTCTCCTACACGATATCCCCAGAGGTTGGAGTCACCATGATTCGACATGCGGTGTCGCGCTTCCAGGTCAAATGCGTGCTTTCAAGTAATGCTATAAGAGTCACTGCGTAAATGCAGCGCGCATATGTATCTGTGTTGCTGCCTTGCTGTCGGTGATAGTTGCCTAAGTAGTTGGCTGTCCCTTGCCTCAGTCCCATGACTCGCTGTTTGTACATGCAGGCAACTTATTACTAGTATTTTATCTATCTATCTATCTATCTATCTATCTATCTATCTATCTATCTATCTATCTATCTATCTATATATCTATCTATCTATATATCTATTATCTGTTCGTCTTGGCCTGGTTTCTTTCTTCTCCCTCGTTTTCCAAGCAAGCAACCACCACCAGAAGAAGCCCAGCTTGTCCCACGTCCCACAGCAGCCACGTTTCGACATCTTCCTGGTCTTTGACGAGTCTTGAGTTGCGAGGAGCTGTTTCACCTGCATCACACGCATTGTCTCTCCCACAACCCAGATCAATCCCACAGACAAACCTGGGTCGCATAGGACTTTACACAACGCTTACACTTGACAACCGAATCAGATTGTCTCACCAAGAATTTTGCCTTTCAACGCGGCGTCATCTCAACCCATAATTATCCTCGGTCCTACAATCAACACACCCACCAACGCCAGTTCATCCGTCTCGTCCACGCGCATCAAACATCTTTCACCGCATCATGCCACCCGCAGAGGGACCTCGCGCGCCCCAAGGGCCCGTCGGGGCGCCACCGCTGGCCACGCCTGAGACGGCCACGCCCGAGGAGCTCGAGCGTGCCGCCATTACAATTTCCGTCGCTGACCTCGAGGAGCGCGTGGCGGACACTCGTGATTCGTGGGAGACGGATTCAATGTATGAAGATATCCTGGAGACCCTGGAGCAGGAATCAGGCGGTGAGTCATGAGCAGGCGAAGAGAGAGAGACAAAGGAACTGAGTTTGACGACAGACACACCGGGCAGCTGCACGCCGGAAGAGGCCAGTCGCCTGCGTCGCGAACTACGTGAATACGGACCCGTGGTATTCGCCCAGCGCACCCTCGACTCGGGGCGGTACACAGCGCGCAAGCTCCTCACAGCCTTCAACCTCAAGGCCCCCGCCTTCTTGGACGACTGTCCAGACGAGGACTTTCATCCTCTCCTCACGGTGGCCATTACGCGGGAGCTTGCCAAGCGGGCCAAACTCACACGCTACAACACCGTCAACGACGCCGTGCACTTGCTGCAGAGGTCCTCCAACGTGATTGTGCTCACGGGGGCGGGCATCAGCACCAGCCTTGGCATCCCCGACTTCCGATCCAAGGGCACGGGTCTGTACTCCAAGCTCGAGCACCTGGGACTCAACGACCCGCAAGAGGTCTTTGACATCCACACGTTCAAGGACGACCCGACCATCTTCTACTCGGTGGCCAAGGACATTATCCCCTCCACGGACCGCTACACGCCCACCCACAAGTTCATCGCCATGCTGCACGAGCGCGGCAAGCTCTTGACCAACTACTCGCAGAACATTGACAACCTGGAGATTGTCGCCGGCGTGCCCAATGACAGGCTGATCCAGTGCCATGGCTCGTTTGGCGGCGCGACCTGCGTCGAGTGTGGCTACAAGACGGCCGGCGAGGACATCTTCCCCGACATCAGGGCGGGCGTCATCCCCAAGTGCCCAAGGTGCATCCAGCGTCTCCGTCCCGCGGCGCCAAAACGGAAGCGATCCAGCGAGGGGCCGAACGGGCGTCGACGGAGACGGAAGAACGGGCATGACGACGATGACGACGACGACGACGATGACCCGGCCTACGACATCCCGCAGGCCGGCGTCATGAAGCCGGACATTACCTTCTTCGGCGAAGACCTACCCGACGAGTTCTCCAAGCGGCTGACGGAGCACGACCGCGAAAAAGTAGACCTGGTCGTCGTCATCGGGACGAGTCTCAAGGTGACGCCCGTGAGCGAGATTGTCGGCTGGCTGCCGTCGCACATTCCGCAGCTGTACATCTCGCGGCAGGCCGTGACGCACATCAACTTTGACATTGACCTGCTCGGCGACTGCGACGTTGTCGTCGAGGAGCTGTGCCGGCGGCTGGGCTGGGAGCTGAAGCACGAGATGGTGACCCCCGGGCGCATCACTGTCAAGACGGAGGAGGGCTACAAGAGTCGACATGTCTTTACAAAGGAGACGTCGGAGTAGGGCGTCGTCGTGTAGTCTTTGCATACATAGAAGGGTCAATGATAATGAACAAGTCGCTGGTTATGCTATAGATGTGTCTATGTACGGTGGGGGTCATACTATATCAACGACTCATACTTGTCCAGCCCAGACTTGGACGCCTGCTGCTGCTGTGGTTGCGTGTTCGCCATGCTGCCCATACTCGTGGACTGCTGGCCCCATTGGCTCTGGGGCGCTGCCATGCCGAAGCCAGTGTTCCCTTGTGCAGGCGGCTTCATACCACCAAAGGCAGTGCTGGAGTTCGATGCACCAGGCGGAGGCGGTAATGAGAATGAACCTGACGAGGAGCCCATGGTAGGTCTCTGCTGGCTGTTCAATGACATGCCGGACATTGAGGATGCCATGCCTGCTGCACCGGACGAGTAGTTGGGTGCTGTGCTCGACGGCGTCGAGGATGCCCATGGGTTTGCGCTGCTGCTGCCACTGCCCCAGTTGATGCTCGAGGACTGCGGCTGCTGCGGTTGCTGCTGTGGCGGTGGCGGGGAGAATGCCGCCGTTTTCTGCTGCGACACAGGTTGCAGAGGCTGACTGAACTGTGTCGACGTCGGCGTCAGGCTCGCAAACGAGTTCATGTCGGGCGTCACGGTCCTGAAACTAGGCTGCTGCGCTGTGAACGCGCCCGTGACCGAGGGCGGGCTCGTCGGCTGCGCGGGCGTCGGTGTGGACCAGGAGAACGCTGGTGCCGAAGGTGTGCTTCGCCCTGACGATCGACCAGGTCCGTTGGAAGACGAGGTGTTCGTCGTAATCGTCGTCGTGTTGGGTGCGTCGTCCCAGCTAGGGAAGCTCCCGCTGCCCGGGGCTGCTGCTGCGGACGTGCTGCTTCTTCCCTTGACAAGGGACTCAAAGTCATCCTCGTTTCCGGCAGGGCCTGTGGCATCAAAGGCAGTGCCCGTGAGTCCACCAAAGGAGAGCATGTCTTCTCCTTTGTTGGCCGTGGCGGAGCCGTTGGTGCCACCCAGTTCTTGTAGTTTGCGCGTTTGCTCCTCCTCGACGCGGGACGAGAGGAGTTTGATGAGCTCCATGAATGTTTGGAACTGCTTCAGCTCGAGCAGGGGTCCCAGGCTCATGCTCCACAGGATGGGGAGGATGTCCATGGCGACAAAGTCGGCATCGGCCGTCTGCCCGACAATGCGAAGCACGTTCAGCGCAGCCATCATGACGGCCGGCTCTTTTGTCTTGATGCCCCTGACCAGCGGCACGATCTTCTCCTGCATCGTGTACTTGTCCAGTGCTGACGAGGAAGACGTCTTCTTTTGAGGGGCAAGACCGTTCAGACCATCATCAGCGGCGGCATCGGCCGATCCACCGCAGAGAATAACAAAGGACTGCAAGCCTCGGACCTTGATGGCGAGGCTATTGGTGCGTGTGAAGACTGCGGCAATAACCGGGAAGAGCTCGCCTTTGATGGTGCTAAAGTCGAGGACGGGTAGGACGACAGGGAGACTGCGCATGGCCGCGTCGATGATGGTATGTGTAGGGCACTCGATGGCGGCCAACAATACAGGAAAGATATCTACATTGTTAGCGAGACGCTTGACGGGGTCTTGGTATTTAACTTACCATCCTTGAATTCCTTCCCTGAGCAGTTTTCCGCGCAAATGGACAGGTTCTCGAGGAAGACCATGAGCCCGGCATCCCTTGCAGGGTCCTTGTCCTGCTGTGCTTGCTTCGCATTGACCACAAAGATATCTTTGAGGGCAGGGCGCACTTTGTCAACAAATGCTCGTCTTGACGATGGCAGAAGGCTGAGGATCTTGAAGACGTTCTGCAGGATCAGAGACAGCAAGTCGCGATCCTTGAGCTCCTCCAACAGGGCAGGCAAAAGCTTCTTCTCGATCACCGATTTGGGGAACGAGGGGAGAACCTTGTTCAAGCCGCGCATGAACTGGTTCTTCTCATTCGCTGTCTTGGCCGGAAACGCATCCAGGAAGCGAATCGTCGATATGAGAACATTGTCAAAGAACTCGCTTTCTTGAAACTCTTTGGCTGTCATGCGCTGCGCTGGTCTTCGAGTAATCAGGCGAGGTAGAACATGGTTCGTTAGATCCTTGGGCAGCGGCCGAGAGGAAAGGAACTTGTTTGATGCTGACGGTATCGTCGAGGACGAGGAGAAGAGCTTTCGATATGCGGACAAGCTGCCGTGACTTTCCAAAGGCGATCGGTGAGGCGAATTATACAAGGCTACTGATAGCAAGCCCAACGAGAACATGTCTGCGGAAGCTGTCATGTTGTTGTCCATGACGAAGTCTGGCGAAGTGTAGTCCAGGTTGAGCTGGACGAACCTAGGCAACCTTGGGTCGGGGTTCAGCACCTCATACAGGTTGACGCCCTGTATCGACGTCGGTTTCGTCGACCCCTCGACCGGGCTACAGAACGCGAGCCCGCTGATTTTCCAGTCCGATTTGGCGTTGATCAGGATCGCATCCGGCGTCAGGTTGCCATGCAACAGTCCCGCATTGTCGTGCAAGAACTCGAGCGCTTTGCTGACCTGCAGCAAGCCCTTTTGGACCTCCAGCTCATCGAGTTCCAGCTCGCGACGTCGCCGCACGCCGTCCGCATCTTCCGTCACGTAGCGACTCCCACGGCCACCCGGTCCACCAGATCTCTCCTGATCGTCCTTCTCGTGTAATGCGCTCGCCAGCGAGGCTGTCACGGCCTCGGTCACAAATTGTAGCCCGCCACCACGGGTCTCCTCCACCGGCTCGACCAATTCCAGGATGCTGGGGTGTCGTAGTTTCGCCAGGCTTGACGCTTCCTTCTTCAGCCGCTCCACGACCTCCTCCACCGCGCGTTTCACCGACGTGCCACCACTCCGACCGCCCAGGGAGCTGCCGCCGGCATCGAGGGTCTTCTTGTCGAATACAAAGACACTGTATGCCTTGCCTGTGGACTTCTTCTTGGCGTCGTATATCCGCCACGGTCCGGCCTGGGATGTGGCTGTCGAGGCGATGGAGTAGTTGGCGGTAATGTTCGTTGCCGAAATGGACTTGAGCGCCGAGGAAAACATGTCGAATTCGTTACGGAGGGAGTTCGGCGCGTATAATTGGTATCATGACGGGAGCTGGAGGAAGAAAAGGTCGCAGTTGCGCTGATGCGCCAGCGCGCGCAATGGGGGTTGTCTAGCCCTGTCGCGTAGCTCTTGGGAGCGTAGTGAATGCTGTCAGTTCAACGGAACGGACAGAGAATTATGAATATATGGCCTCCAAAAGGTTGCGCAAATGATAGGTATCAATGTATGCACAGACAGCATCAAGGTTGGGCTTCGCAATGTCGAGTCCTGTGGCGTAATCAGGTACAGCAGGCATTATGACAGGTGTCGGCCCAGTGGCTGTGACAGCTGTGGCTCAAGCTTAGATTTGCCTACCCTGCGGAGCATGCTACTGTATCCGCACTACGTACAATTGAATTCGTTAAACAGGCAGCATTCATGTATTGTACCAAGCCTTACTATCGTCTCCGTGTACATAAGTTTCTGCATGACTGCTGCTGGGAGATTACAGATTCTTCTGAAATATCATAAAAGATAGGCCAACGTGAAAGTAACCAGCTTCTTTTACCCGACACCGGCGGACGTGTCCGGTATGAGAGAACCACAGCCCATAGAGCATGCCAAATTGAAGGTTACTCACGGGTCTCATCTCGACTTCACCAAAGAGTCATTTAGACTACTTACTTATCGTCAGAGCTAATGCTCGCGCAGTCTGGTAGACATTCGTTGGGAGTAGCGCTTATCCTCGGCGGAGGCAGATCGGCTTACTGGGAGATGCAGCGCTAAAAGGGCGTGTCTGACGCGAAGGACTCCGATAGAGCGCCGATGGGATGCGGCGTGCGGGTATTTCTATTTCTACCTTACGTTAGAATTGAGAATTGCAGCTCTACTTAATACGACGTCGACTAGATCAATTGGGAGTTTGGATTTGATTGCACTGTTGCTACTCGTTATTTCGAACTGAATAAGGGCGGGAGAAAAGTACGTACACGTCGGGCGCATTTCCACCCGACCATCACCACACAACCATGCGGTCCGTTCTACGCTCAACCGCTCTATGGAGCGCCACGAGGGCGTCAAGAGCTCTCCCGACATGCTATGCTGCGCGCCCATACAGCATCAAGGCCCAGGCGGCGTCTGCGTCGAAGCAGGCTCCCCTCGATGCCTCCAAACTGCAGGTCACCCAGACCACCAAGCCCAAAACCTTCAGCAAGCCTGAGGACCTCGTCTTTGGCAGGGAGTTCACAGGTCAGCTCGGCCGATTTTTGATGGAGATTTCAATACTGACAGCTACAGATCACATGCTCACCATCGAGTGGACCGAGAACGAAGGTTGGCTCGAGCCCAAGATCGTCCCCTACCAGAACCTCTCCCTCGACCCGGCGACATGCGTTTTCCACTACGCCTTTGAGTGCTTCGAGGGCATGAAGGCCTACAAAGACAAGGAGGGCAGCGTCCGCCTGTTCCGGCCGGACAAGAACATGGCCCGCCTCAACAAGTCGAGCGCCCGCATTGCGCTGCCCACCTTTGAGCCCTCCGCCCTCACAGAGCTCATCTCCAAGTTTGCCAACCTGGAGAAGGGCTCCATCCCCAACCAGCGCGGCTACTCGCTGTACCTGCGTCCCACCATGATCGGCACGCAAAAGACCCTCGGCGTTGGCCCTCCAGGCTCGGCGCTGCTCTATGTCATCGCCTCGCCCGTCGGGCCCTACTACCCCACGGGCTTCAAGGCCGTGTCGCTCGAGGCGACCGACTACGCTGTGCGCGCGTGGCCCGGCGGTGTCGGCGACAAGAAGCTCGGCGCCAACTACGCGCCCTGCATTGTCCCCCAGCTCGAGGCTGCCGGCCGCGGCTTCCAGCAGAACCTGTGGCTGTTTGGCGAGGAGCAGTACGTCACCGAGGTCGGCACCATGAACATGTTTGCGGCCATCAAGGACAAGGCCACCGGTCAGAAGGAGCTCATCACCGCGCCCCTGGACGGCACCATTCTCGAGGGTGTCACCCGCGACTCCGTCCTTGCCCTGGCCCGCGAGCGTCTTGTGCCCGAGGGCTGGAAGGTCAGCGAGCGCAAGTACACCATCAAGGAGCTTGCCGATGCCGATAAGGAGGGCCGCCTTATTGAGGCCTTTGGCGCTGGCACAGCTGCCATTGTCAGCCCCATCCGCAAGATCTCATGGAAGGGCGAGATGATCAACTGCGGACTGAAGGAGACGGAGGAGTCTGGCGAGATTGCGTTGAGGATGAAGACCTGGATGGAGAACATTCAGTATGGCGACGAGGAGCACGAGTGGAGCTACAGGACCCAGGCTTAAGTTAGACGCGTATATAGAATGTCAGGAGTTGCAGGGATATAAAGCAAAGCAGCATGCATCGATCCATTCAAGGGGCGCGCTTTCCAATCAATGCATTATCAGGGTGCTATGATAATCGAGATTTCCGTGATAGCAAGTAAAGATGTGTCAATTGACAACAAAGGGAATCATCCTCTAACCATGGCGTGAACCAAGAATTTCTTCAGTGAGCGCACCGAAGTCGATATACACATGTCGTTGGTAGTCCAGCCGGGACCATGCGAAATCCTCCCATCACAGCAGCATCTAAGCTTGTCCTTCTCGCCCTCGGGTTCAGTTCTTCTTGTCGCCAGATGAGCTTGGGTCGGGCAGAATGCCCTCGGCTTCTAACCGCCTCCTCGCCTCCTCGAGGGCCCAGGTAGAAACACTACAAGATTGTCAGTTTCGTGCGGGTATTTTCAAAAGAAGAGAGGCGCATGTAGCCTGGTACTGCTTTCGCAGGCCATGCCAACGCTTCTCCCCTTGCCCTCATTGACTCACGTTGTGTCGGGCTTGTACGCCATCGCAATGGCAGTAACCACAATGCTACCGCAGAAGATGTACATGGGCCATTCCCAGCCCTCGGGCTCGGGCTTCTCACCGGGCTTCACGCCCCAGAGCCAGCCGGTCGGAGGGTCGAACTGCTGGCCGCCACCGCCACCTTGTCGTCGGGTCGTGAGGGAGAAAGATCTGGCGGTCGCGGGTGTGGTGCGGAGGCAGCGCACGGAGCGCAGAGGCGCGGCAGCGTGACGGAGGAGCGCCATTGTGTGTCGAATGGTGAATTGTGTGCTTTGCGAAGTCGTGATGGGCCGCAATGGGGGGGCAGCAGCGGCGTCGTCGTCGTTGATGGTGGTTCTTGAGGTGGACGGACTCCGAGGCGCGAGAATGGCCGGGCCGGTGCGTCACGTGATCTCAAACCGGCAGATGACTTGGACATCCAGGGGACCCACTTCTTCTTGCTCAGGCTGCATTGCAGATCTCAGCTCAGCGACGATTGGAGCCCGAGAGAGGATGAGCTTGAGATTATACGTAGTAGTCGCAATGCCTTCATTACTGGTAAAGCAACGCTCATTTATGTGACCAACGAGGATCTCACAGCCTTCTCAGACGCTCGAGTTCGGGAACTTTGATGCACAACTACCTGATGCTCCACATCCACGTCCACGCTCACTCGCAGCTCGCAGCTCGCAGCTCGCTCACGAGTCACCAGCCGACTGGCCAGCATCTCGATCGCTCAAAGCCACTGTTGCTCCATTGCCGCCTTATATGTGCCACCTGACACCCGCATCGACAAGTGACAACTGTCGGTACGCGACTTTCACGCGGCAGGCCTGAATTAGTTATGAGATGAGATTGTGAGGTCAACAATAGCCATAGCCGCATGGTAATTGGCAAGATGGGTTGTTCCTATACACAGTCTTCATTTCAGGACGATACCTAATAGACGCAATGGTTGCGCATACTGGCATTGCCACCGCAGACTCCAGTCGTGGCGATGGCGCTCAATACACCGAACACGATGAGAAAAGCAGAGGAATGATGGACGACGATCCGCCCGTCAGACCCAACCTCGGGAGGCGACACAGCTCTTGGGCCAGCATGGCTCAGATTGAGCAGATGGTCTCCAACGACATGCTCGACACGAAAACCTATGGCGTGTCGGAACTGCGAGAAGGCTTCTTCGACGCCTTCTTCTTGAAGCCAACCGATGCTCCCACCGCAGAAGACCGAGAGTATGCCAGGACCACCTTGCCACAAGCTTTCGACAAGGGCTCACCCCTCTCACCGAAGCACTTTTGCTGGAGGCAGGCCCATGAACTACGCTCTCTGACGGTCAGGGTCACAACGACAAGGGCAGGTATCCAGCTGCTCAAATCTTGCACGGCGTTCTTGATTGCATATATCCTCTGCCTGGTACCTGTCGTGCGCGAATGGCTAGGCCGCTACAGCTATATCATGGCAGTGTCCGTCATCTTGAACCATCCAGCCAGGACAGTCGGCTCCCAAATCGATGGAGCATTCTTCACAATCATTGGGACCGCTGCAGGACTGGGCTGGGGCACAATCGCCCTCCTCCTGTCCAATTCAACTATAGCCGCTCGCGCTGGTTTTGGAGGTGTCCTAGCCACGTTCATGCTCGTGTTCATGGGCATCCTTGCATGGATCCGATCTACCTTGGTGCGATTCCATCAAGCCAATCTATGCGCAGGCATAGCCATTACAATCACCACACTGGCAGAAACACACAGCCAGCGTATCGTATGGCACAAGCTCTTCAGCTATGGTGTGTCGTGGCTATATGGGCAAGCGATTTCGCTCGTGGTATGCTGCATCATGTTTCCCGACGCAGGCGCCCGTCCGCTCTCCACCACTTTACACAAGTTCTTCGCCGTTGCCCAGGATGCCCTCATCATCCCGAAGCCCAGGGACGTTCGCCTCCGAAGGACCCTCGCCAAGATGTACGTTGAGTTGTCTGTCGCCTATCGTGACCTGCGCATAGACATGTCCATTACGAGATTCCGGCCCGACGACATTGGAGAGCTAAGAAATCTCATGCAGACTGTGATTCGAACGATTCTGTCCATGGAAACTGAAACTCTGATGTTCGATAACCTTGATGACGGCCACGACGTCACGATCACCGTTCATTCGCCGTCCACGGACGACCCAATTACCACGGACAATGCTGCCAGCAGGATTGCCCGGCTCTTTGCGAGGCCCACTAGGGAGATTCTGGATTGTCTATTCGAGGGTCTCGGTCGATGTGACGCCGCTATCATGGACCTGTCTGGCTATCGCAATCACCTAGGCCCTCCCCCCGAGACGTCCTCCGACCTCGCTTCCATCCAGACCCGGCTCAAGAACGCACTGGCATCGTTCGATGCTGTCGAGTACGATCTTCTCAATTCAGGAGAACTGCCAGCCTCCTCCATAGACGACGCGGACGTCATCCCGCTATTTCTGTTCTCCCGACACGTGCGTGAGACAGCAGCGGCCGTCCAAGCGCTCGTCACCAAGATAGAGGCCATGCAAGGTGCACCCAAGTGGCCGCGCGTGTACCTGCCCTCTTATCCGTTCCGTCAGGCGATACACCGGACCAACAGGCAGGTCCGGCACGACAGAGGTGGTATCAACGCGGCTTCGTACCACACCACCTTCTCCGAGATTGCCAAGCTCCTGGAGAAGATCAAGTCGCGAGACTACCGGCCTCCTCCTAGGACACGCCCGGGCACCCCTGAGCCGGACCCGGGCGGATCTGGGGTAGAGGCTACACACCCAACGATGGATGCTGGGACCGTTGATGACGGGACCGAAACAACCAAGACGACCAAGCGCTACAAGGCCTGGAAAGTGCTGCGTCGTCTACAAGGGTTCGAGAGTCGATATGCTTTCAAGGTGTGCCTCGTCACCTCGTTGCTCTCTGTGCCCTCGTACCTGAAAGGCACGGATTGGTGGGATGAATACGGGGCGTGGTGGGTGGTGGCCGTGAGCTGGATCATGATCCATCCTAGGGTTGGTGGTAATCTGCAAGATCTGGTGACGCGCGCCTCCGTTGCGTTGCTGGGCGCCGTGTGGGCCGGAGCAGGCTATGCTGCTGGGGATGGAAGTCCATATGTGCTCGCTGTGTTTGCCATGATTTACATGGTGCCGATGCTCTACCGCTTCACGCAAAGCTCACATCCGGTAGGCATCTCTTCTTTCTGCCCACTCTTTCGAATGCTAACTATGACGCAGAGATCGGGTCTGGTTGGCTGCCTGTCCTTCACGGTCGTGTCTTTGAGTCTGCAATCCCATAGCAACGGCGGCTCTGTGATGCGTACCGCGACTCTCAGAGGTCTCTCCTTTCTCGTGGGCACCATAGTGCCCATCGTCGTCAATTGGGTTCTTTGGCCCTTTGTTGCCCGTCACGAACTACGATATGCCTTGTCCTCGATGCTCTTTTTCATGAGCATCATTTACAGGAGTGAGCCAACTCCGGTCCAACAGTCGCAGCAGAGACTAACAGCGCCCAGGTGTCGTTGCCAAGTATGTCTACTTTGACGAAGGACACGAGCCTACGCCCGAGGACATTGCGCGCTCCGAGATGCTCGAGGGCCGGTTGCGAGAAGGCTTTGTCCGCATCCGCCAGCTGCTGGTACTTCCACCCAGTCCCGTCATTTCCTTTACAAGTACAGCTCCGCTCATAGCATCCAGGTCCTGACTCGTCACGAGATCCGTCTCCGCGGCCCATTTGACCCTCTCCCCTACTCCGCCCTCGCCGATTCCCTCGAGCGGTTCTTCGAATACCTCATTGCCGTACGCCAGAGTGCCCTCTTCTACAACCCAGGGTACATTAGAGATGACTCTGCGGCAGCGGGGAAGTTGCTCGGCTTCCGACGTGATGCGGTGGCGGCTATTCTGGGAAACCTGTACATCCTCGCCGGCGCGTTGCGATCGCAGAGGAAGGTTCCGCGGTACATGCCCAGTGCAGCCGCCGCGAGGAAGAAGCTCATCCTCCGCACGATGGAGCTCGATGACGAGATGGCCAAGTCCATGCACGACAGCGAGTGGCGACGGCATAAGCAGTGGAGCGAAATCTACAGCTACTCGTACAAAGAAAGCCTCACTGGCTGTGTCGCGCAACTTGAGGAGCTGGAACGATACACGAAGCTCATTTGCGGCGTTCAGGGGTATGTACACATTAGTTCCCCTCCCCTCAAATCTCCCGCTGACCAGCCAGCTTTGACGACGACTTTGAAGATGAGAATGCAGATGACAGTCAAACATTGTGATTATTCAAGTACGCTATGGCCATAACAACCCCTGCTTATCGATGCAGCATATCCGGTGACACCACCCATTATCCAATATGAACGCTTAATATGCCCCATTCGTTGTCTCATGCATGATATATCTTGTAATCGGCTTGTCCTTGAACAGTACATCGGCCGACATGGTGCTTTTCCTGGGCGTCGGACGCTTGTTCTCCTTTCCGCCTGCTCCCTGCGCTTTTCTCGGCGGTGTTCGTCCCTTGGCGGGTGTTTTTGGTGTTCTCTGCGTGGGTCCAGTGGCGGTGATCTGGGTCGCAAAGTCTGGAAAGTAATGGCTTTCCATCGCATCTTTGGGGAGATCGTAGATCCAGTTGCTCTCCTCCATGAGCCTGATGAAGCGGCTCAGCATCGTCTCATCGCCACTGTTCTTCAAGGTTTTCTTGCTCCCCACCACAATCAGCTTCGTCTTTGCGCGTGTGAAGGCAACGTTGATCCTTCGCCAGTCTTTGAGGAGATCGCCGATGGAGCATGAATCGTTGCTCCGCACCAGACTGAGCACAATGACCTCCTTGTCGCGACCTTGAAAGCGGTCGGTTGTATGCATCTCGACTCCTCCGTAATGACGGAGCTGCTCCTTCAGAAGGAAGAGCTGAGCACGGTAATGCGTCATAACACCCACCTCGTCCGGTGCTATGCCAACTGCGAGAAAACTGTCCACGAGTTGCTGTACGATGCGAGCCTCGCCAGGGTTCACAATGCGCTTCCCTTGGGCTTCTTCGTGTACGGCAGGTTCCAGGGTATCGGTATTGACAAACAGGACGCGGTTCTCGGGCTCCAAAAGGTCGCGCAGCCAACATTGGTGGCGCGACGGACCAGTGCAAAACGATCGCACCGAAGCCGTTGCTAACGTTGACACGTCGTGATGCCTTTGGCTTAAAGCAGCCATATTTGGCACTTCCAGCTTACGCTTCTTCAGAGCTTCGGTGCCGCAGCGTAGTCGTCCGTCGTAGATCAAGGTGTTGCTGAGTGTCATAATGTCCTCGCACATCCGATACTGGTGCTCGAGGTTGACGACCGACTGAGGATGGGCATCGGACAAGAGCTTGAACAGACTCACATCGAGGCCGCCTTCACGAGCTTCCTCGTTCCTGACGACCGGAGGGAGCTGGTTGTGATCGCCCACCAAAATAAATGTCCTTGCCATCCGAATGGGCCCAGCGCAGATTGGAAGGGTG